TTTTTTCTGCCATTTCTTTTTTTTTATATCTAGACTTGTCTTTTACGCTTAATTTTTGAACAACCCTTTCGTTAATGAAGAGCTGATGCCGAATATATTTTTACTTAGGCCTTTTTTTTCTTTTAACTCTTTTAATTTCATATAATTCCTTTTTTTCTTTTTTTCTTTTTTTTTTTCTCACCTTTTGGCTACTTTTTGACCAACCCCTATTTTTTTTCTCTCTTTTTTTCTTGCTATCTCATAATAACAACAAAACGATCATTATTTCCTCCCACAATTTTCTGGTAATTACAGTTTAAATGGGAATTTTATCAAGGCCTGGTCCAGTTAATGACATCAAATTTCAACGCCCAATTAACAACTGATCCTAACCCGTGTTTCAACTCTCATGATAACACTGGAATTTCATTCATGAATTCTACACCAATTTTATTACTGTATCTTTGTTGAATATGATCTTGGAAAATCCCCAGTCTTTTCGCCTGATTTTTTTTTCTTCTTTTTATTTTTTTTATAAATGCTGTTTATTTTTCTTTGTTGTAGTTTTTTGTCGTAGTAGTTATTGTTATTTTATACACTTCATTGTTTCTGTTCTATGATTTTTTAAAACTATTTATGACTGTTTATGACTATCACGAATAATCTTCCAATTAATTCCATATATTTTTTCCAGTCGTACTATAATATATTTTTAACCCTTTTTTTATATAATCCGTTTATTTACATTTTACTTTACAGTAATCCAGAACAATCCTCTATCCTCTAATCCGGTTCGCGGGACCAATTAATGTAGCGACCCGTGATATATTATCTGTTTTTCCGCCACATTAAAATTAACACAGTTCAACTTTTCACAGTTTTTATTTTTATACCTTTTAAACAGTTTTTAACAGTTCTATATTTTTAATTATCCAAAATTTTAACATTATTTTTCTTCTCTTTTGTTCTTATTACTTTTTAGATGTTACTTCTACAAAAGTTTCTTTTTCACTCTCAAAAAATCAAGGCAACGCCCAAAGTAAATATCTTTAGAGCCGTGTGCAAAAAACACCAAAAAGCTACATCAAAAAATGGTGATGAGTTTTTCTCCATTAACCAATGAAATGTCCTGGTAAAAATAACTATGTTTCTGGATATTAACAAAATGTAAACATCTAAAGCTTGATAATAAAACTATTAAATGTTAGGACAATGCCCTGTAAAGAATTTCTCTCGCGATTAGCGACAACGCTTTGTATAGGAGCGTTTTCACAACAAAAATACTTATAACAAAAAAAAAAGTTAAAAACATTTGCTTGACCTACTTATTACTGTTCATAAGACACCAATATATTTAAAATTGATTTAGAAATAAAGAAATAATTGCGTGATAAATGGTGTTCAAAAACTTTAAATGAATACTTTTGGCCACATATGAATTCAGTTTTTCTGTTGAGGCGTCTTGGTTATTGTAGGTGTTTTTTTTATGAAATATATAGGACCATTGATGAAATAAAATGTACATTTTTGTTTCCGCATTTGTAAAATCACTGTAATGCAACATACTTACCAAATTTTTAGCTCACCTGAGCAAGCTCAGGGTGAGCTTTTAGGATCGTTGAATGTCCGTCGTCTGTCGTCCGTCGTCTGTCGTCCGTCGTCCGTCATCACTTGTTCGTTAACACTCTAGCGGTCACTTTTTTATTCGATCATCATCAAACTTGGCCAGGATGCTTGTTTAGGTAATTGCTCGGATGAGTTCGAACATGGGTTATCTCGGGTGAAAAACTAGGTTACATGAGCTAAAAATAGAAAAACCTTGTTAACAATCTAGCGGTCACATTTTTGACTCAATCATCATCAATCTTGGTCAGGATGCTTATCTAGGTAACAGCTTAAAAGAGTTCGAACATGGGTCATCTCGGATGAAAAACTAGGTCACAGGAGCTAAAAATAGAAAAACCTTGTTAAAACTCTAGCGGTCACATTTTTGCCTCAATCATCATTTTACTTGGTCAGGATGCTTGTCAAGGTTATTCCTCGAATGAGTTCGAACATGGGTCATCTCGAATGAAAAACTAGGTCACAGGAGCTAAAAATAGAAAAAAATTGTAACACTCTAGCGTCACATTTTTGCCTCAATCATCATCAAACTTGGTGAGGATGCTTGTCTATGTAATACCTCAAATGAGTTTGAACAAAACTAGGTCAAAGGAGCTAAAAATAGAAGAAGAAAAAAAACCTTATAAACACTCTATTGGTCACATATTTGACTCGATCATCATCAAGCTTGGTCAGGATGCTTGTCTATGAGTTTGAACATGGGTCATATCTGATGAAAAAATAGAAAAAGCCTTGTTAACAGTCTAGTGGTCACATTTTTTACTCATTTATCATCATACTTTGTCAGGATACTTTTCTAGGTAAATGCTCGGATGATTTTAAACATGGGTCATCTCGGATGAAAAACTAGGTCACATGAGCTAAAAATAGAAAACTCTTGTTAACACTCTAGTGATCCAAATATCCTTGACATTGGTCTAAACGTTTATTTTGGTGATTCTAGGACAAGTTCGAATATGGGTCATCTGAGGTCAAAAACTATGTCACACCGCCCAAATATGGAACAACCTTGTTAACACTCTAGTAGTCACATTTTTTACTCAATAATCATCAAACTTGATCCGGATGCTTGTCTAGATAATTGTTCAGATGAGTTTGAACATGGGTTATCTTGGATGAAAAACTAGGTCACAGGAACTAAAAATTAAAAAAAAAATATTGTTAACACTCTAGTGGCTAACGTTATGATCCAAATATCCTTGAAATTGGTCTGAAAGATTGTTTTGATGATTTCTAGGTCAAGTTCGAATATGGGTCACCTGGGGTCAAAATCTAGGTCACACTGCTCAAATATGGATAATCCTTGTTAAAACTAGTGGTCACATTTTTTCTCACCTGTCATGAAATTTGGTCTCAGAATGCTTGTAATTGTTCGAATGAGTTCGATGGGTCAGGTGAGCGATCTAAGGTCATCTAAGCCCACTTGTTACTGGTATCTTACCGGACTGCTGCTGCTTAAGTATATTATTTAATGAAAATTTAAGTTTTTTCTAAAAATACGGGAATTTTTTTCAGATCATCGTTAGAAAAGTTCATATTTCATAACATTTATTATGAAATGTAATATTATGAGGTGAGTAAAATATTGAATTATATTGGACAAGTTCACAGTATTCAAACCTATTTTGGGCGATGCGCTATTCAAGTCTGATGTAGGTTGTTTTGCAGTTGTGTACGAGTCAAATCAAATGAGTATTGTACTCAATATATACATGTGTATTGACCATTTTAATTTTTGACATTTAGACAGAAATTTTTGCTTCAAGTATGTTAAGGAAGGATATGATTGTTTTACCCAGAAAATAAAAATGAAGATGGATGGGGAACGATACCCAATAGATAAAAAATCCTTTTGACTCTGACAACAATCGATTCAGGAGGCAAAAATCCGTTGATCAAACAGAAAAAATAACTGCTCACCGAAAGATCATTTTTAGAATTTCCGCTAAATGTTCTTTTATTTGTGTATATTTATCACTTTTTTGACATGTAACATTTGAATACATATGTTTTCAATTGTCAAGTTGATGTTTTATCAAGTTAATATATTATATTACATGTATTTTGGTGGAATTCTCCGTTATTCGTTTTCGTGTAAACCCCTATATCATAAAGTATTTGGTTTTAAAGTTATTAGGTATAAAAGAAGGTTTGTTTGGATATTATAAAACTTTAGGGACTACGTTTGTCTGTATTTTATTGCCACATAAGTGCTGTTTGTGTCGTATGGAGGCCGTTAAAAGTCGACGCGAACATAAACTCAAAGATATTTAGGGTATATTTTATATTTATTTATATATATTCATGTAGGTATATTTTCGGTCATTGAAGAGTGTTCAGTACGACATTATATAAGATATCCGCCGTATGAACACATCTTCTGATATTTCTAAGTTTTATATTTTACCATTACCATGATAATACTAGTGGTGGGGACGTGGACGGTCACTTGCACTTTCAAGTACCGTTCATAAACAGGCTCGTTCAAGTCGAATTTTCAAAATTTTCAGTTTTGTCGTTTTAGCCGATCTTTGGGATGGCATTTTTTCCTTTTTTTAGTATACTCGAAATGACAAATACTACATTAATGTTCTAAAAAAAATTTGATTTTATTAAATTTTGAAATGAAGGAAAATAATGATTACCTTTATATATTTACAGAAGAACCAATGTTTTATTTTTCGGTGCCGGAAATTCTAAGAGATGGAGAAGCTGTCACATGCACAGTGGAAGGTGGAAGACCTAATCCGAATGTATATGTCAGCATTTCTGGTTCAAATGTATCGTCTTCGCACTCACATTTTTATAATCCGACTACATCTCTACATACTTATGTTATCACACTGACCATGTTCAAACGGGAATGGAACAAAGAACACATAACGTGCTGTCGATACAATGAATGGTACAAAATTGAGCAAATATGTTCACTGCCAAAAGAAGTTAATTTTCTGTGTACGGTTGGTTTGTTTGTTTTTGTTTTTGTGTTGTTTTTGTTGTTGATGGTTTTTGTTACGAATTGACTCACACGCAATGAAATTTATTACAATGTTATTATTTTTATCTTAACCTGATGATACCCCAATATTTACGTTTCAAACACCTGAAATAATAAGATCATGGCGGCATCTAAAATGAAATTATGAGAAACTTGCATCTGTTGCATTGTAGAAAAGTTGTAGAAATGTTGTTTCAATAAGTTAAATATATTATCTTTTAAGTTCCCCCAGCTAGTGTAATGCTAGAAGTTAAAGCTGTAAGCGACTCACCTAGCCAAATGTATGCAGACTGTACTGTTTATGGCTCAAATCCAGCATGCAACGCTCAGATAAGAGCACACAGTGGTATCATAGGATCAAAAAGGTCTTCAAGAAATATAAGTCAACCCCATGGTGCGTGGAATTCTGTGTATGCAGTAAACTTGAATGTCAGTGAAGAAGACAATGGCAAAGATGTAACTTGTGTGGTTGATTGTGACGAGTTTTCTGTTGACCTTAAAGACACTGTCAAAATACTTCTGCCGTGTAAGTTTTTTGACAGAACTTTTATTTTCAATTACATTGTACTTGATATAAAAAGATGCATGCTTTATTATAACCTACTGCGAGAAATGCAACTAGGAACTGTACTTGAAGTGAGAGCTTATTCAAACTTGTACACAAGTGTCATCTTTTAGACGACATTTAAAGAAACATTTCCAGACACTTAAATCAATGTAAACCATTCTTCTAATACTTCATTTTGTTTGATAACCATTCATGATCATTTTATTTGATTTTCTATGTAATGGAAACTGCATTATCATAATTAAATCAAATTTCAGTCCCTCCAATTATAGAGTTCAATTTATCTGGATCGACATTGAGTATTTCTGAAGGAAAGCGGGCACACGTTAAATGTGTAGCTGACAGCGTTCCCGCCTCCAATATATCATGGATTGAAGAGTTATGTAATGAAAACATAAGGAAGAAGCAATGTGACTTGTCACCAAACTGCATATCAAATATTGATACTGACAGGCGTTTAACAAACTTGAAACGTATCCACCCTAATAAACGCTTGGCAAAGCCGCCACGTCTCTGTTTATAAAAATGTTAAATTAAATATTAGTTTTATATTTTACTATAATATTATTGGACTTTAATCTATTTAGATCGTCCATTTTCGGACAGAATGGACAGTCTTGATACGCATTGATTCACAATGGAAAAACCAATTTCTGAACATTATCATGCCATACCAGTTTATTTATACATGTGTAGTCATGATTTTCATTTAAACAATTCAAAAGTGTCATAAGCCAATCATAAAGAAAACTTTATATTTTTTAGATAAAGTTGATGAAGACGATAAGTACAATAACAAACAGAAAACGGCCGGCGAAGCGTCGGACAAGTCAATAATTTGGATAATACTGGGTGCATGTGTACTTGTGGTCGTCATCATTGTCATAGCGGTCTTGTTTATTGTCTTCAGGAAAAAAGGTCAAACTCTTGAAGGTAAGATAAGATCAAGGCACAAAACGGACGACTTACACTGCAGCGTTTAGCTTAAAAGTTTCTGATGAAAACACATGGCTAAATAGGGACTGATTATGAGTCCTGTTGTTAAAACTAGCCAGTTTAGGATTTGTACCAGGAAACTTGGTCTTGCTTCCGAACGATCTTTGACCTCCGAGTTTTGAGTTGAAAAATACACAACATAACGCCTTTATAACTAAGCCTTATTTCTTCATATTTACATCCATGTATATACACATAATATAAAATGTTGGTATAGTATTAGAAAGTCAGTCATTCATATGCTTACTTCCTTTAATTTCTTATTGGTTATGTTATGTTATTCTGGTATTTCACCAATTTAACACGTTAAGGTCATATCCAGGCTTTCCTAGATAACTAACCTGTAATTACAAATTTCTTGACAAGCCAACAACTAAAAATGCAACGTGAGTTCTGAACCAGCAGTGACAGAAATAAGAACAGTAGACTAAATTGTCACGACGAAATTCAGCCTCTTCCGATGATCGAACCCGCGACCGGTAGATTACAAGTCAGATGCTTTCAAAATTCATGACCTTTTATTTTCTTTTACACTTGTTTAATGAAAATCATTATGTTTTTTTATGTAATCAATATAAATTTAAAGCTATATTTGTCTGTTTACATTTATCTGGCATATTGTTACAAATCGGTAAACTATCTGATTATCAATCAGTTAAATTTCTCCCATCTTCGCACTCCTTGAATTCTTTCTTTTCAACTTTTAAAAGCAACGTTAAAGAAATCGGTATCCCTGCAAAATGTTTGTACATGCATTTTCACAGTTTTATTTGCATTGCTTTTTTCAAACATGACAGATAAGAGAGAAGGTCGGGTACATCATCACACACAGGAAGGCCATACAAGGTTAGGGTGTTGTACACGTTATAATGATTTAATGCGCGTTTACTGTCGAAACAAAAAATTTTGACCAATAATTTAAAAGCTAGATGGAACAAACCCATTTTCATGTCCCTCTTCTTTTGTCTTTGGAAAGTAAATGAAACAGAAGGTTATCTATTTATTAATTTGACGTCAATGTTTTAAATGTATCGTAATTATCAACAATATCAACAATATTTTTGTAATTTTGTAATACCTATGAAACATATTCTTGTGCGAAAAACATATTGTAATAACTGAATTTTTCTTTACTGATAATTACATTTCAGAGGCACATTATTTACTTTTCTATTTTATATAGTTTGTACATAACAAATATATTACTTTTTTACCAAGATGTGCTATACAAAATTCGGAGGATCGCCCAGCGGGAAATCTAGAGGAAAGCGAACATGCGCTAGATAATGATGCCAAAGAGAATCGTCCAGAAGGAAATCTGAAGCAGAGCGGGAATGATGACGAAGTACCTATATATTCCCAACCAATAAAAAAGAAGACGACAGAAAACCCAGACAATATCTATGCGCAAGTAAACAAGACAAGAAAAACCGCTTCTTCACCTTCTTCTGCAAATTCTTCAAAAGTGGAAAAGGTACTATTGTATTGCATATTTGTTTAATTGTTTAAAAATTAAACAGATATACATGTATAGGTATAATTTATACACTTAAATGGAAACACATTGTTCTAAGTAAACTTCATATTTGATTTCATGATTTACTGGAGTGGACATTATATGTAAAAGCTATTTAATTAGATAAAACATATTTACCTATGATTCAAATAGTATAACATCTGATTAATTATGGTATGATATGTGCCTGTGATTGATTCACTTTAAGCTTTTTCGTGCACAGGACGGACAATTGCTGTATGCCGACCTTGCCTTTGATCCAAATGCGGCTCCGTCAAAAGCAGCAGTTGCCAAACAAGAAGATTCACCCACAGAATATGTTGATATAGATTATGTGAAGACGAAAGCTAATAAGGAAATTGATGATGACCCTACGGAACAGGAAAATTTGTAAACTCATTGACAGGATTTTTATTAAACGAGTGGTGTAAATACTTTGATTATACATTTCAAAACTATTATTGTCACAATGTGATTTTCTTTTTTGTATATTATTCTACAAAGTTTATTACGCATGATTTATTGGAAAAAGAAACATTCATGAAAACAAAGGATACTGCAGAATTGATATAGACATGTATGTTTGTGTCTTTGTCAAGGTTTATTGAAAAGATTTGGCTAGTTGTGAATTAGTGTTATTATATTTGATAAGTTCCGTGTCATTAGGTGAAACTCATTTGTACATTTGTATATTCTTGACAATGTGTTTTAGGTATTTATCTTTAAGGCTTGCATAGTGTGACACGAAATGAATTGAGTTTATTATCAAAAACATTGAACCGAAAATAATTAGCTGTTATATTCTATCGTTTCAATAACTTTCTAGTCAAACTTATATTCTTGAATAATTGTCATCTATAAAGTCATATATTTTACAGGTAAACTAGGACCACCCAAACTCATCTCTAACTTATTGATTTTGCAACACCTTTAACGCAAATGAAATAATGTTTAACATTATATTTTTTATATTTTATACATATTCAACAATAATTTTGAAGAGATAAGATCAATTTTGTTTATCAAATGTTACTCACAATTTCCATTTATTATATACATAACATGAGTACTGATTTCAAAAGGTGTTTTTTGTTTTAAAAAAATAATATGTGTTTTGGAATTTTCAATTGTTTATGTGAAAATAATAATATTCAAATTCAAGTAAATGTTAATGTTCAGTAAAGATCAGATTTCCTCACACATTTAACATTTTCCCTGCCTACAAGATCACTTTCAGAGTAACATTTATATGCTAACAAGGCGGGTAAACACAATTTTAAATATATATGTAGTTTATAAATGTGTATAGGTTTTCTTTTACAATATTTTGGTTTAAGGTTGGAACATGTTATTTTAATCAAATCTAGTTTATTTTCTTAGGTAACACTGATATGTTTATATATAATTTGTGGTCAAAGTGAAAGCATCAATCTGTTCAAGTAAAGTACTTTGTTTCTGAAACAAAATCAGAAGGGTCAGTTTATAATTTTAAAAGATGGACTTGTGCATCCACACTCAGAGTACAAAATTTAACTAAAGAATTGTGATTTATCTTTGGTCTACATCAGTAATCGTATACAAAAACACACAGGTCTCAGCCTGTAACCTAGATGTTGAAACCAAAACTGATTCGCCTTTGCCAGTAGTATTAAGCCAGGCAAGCAATCCGTGTAATCTGTCGGCTGACTACCTTCAATTATCATTGTTGAAATTGATAATGTATACTTTCCAAAATGCAAGCTGGACAAGCTCATTTTAAGAATTCAGCAAGACCCTTATAGTAGTGAGTTAAACTTTATGGGTTATAAATCAACAGCAAAATTTTATTTTATTCTACGATGTCATGCTCGATTCTCGAACGAGTTGAATCATAGAATTTCACGGTAAATAACACATGAATATTTTACGTAAACACAATAAATTGCTCCAGATCAAATTACAAGTATGCTATTCTAAGGAATAGTTTATCCGTTTATAAATGATTTCGAGCGAATGTCATTCGCTTTTCAGGCAATTTACTCCCACATCTATCCATACATGCATTTTGTTAATATTCTTTTTTAAAATTCAAATAATCTTTTTTTGCAGCAGATACGTATTTAATATAGCTTTATACACTTTATCATTGAATTTTTTATTTAATCTTCACAATTATAACAGTATTAATGTTGTAAATACTTGTAAGTTTTCTATATTTTCATAAATGCTACATTGTAATATAGCTCATTTCAACACCACATAATGGTTTTAATTATTATCACACTGATGATTGTATAGAAAACATAATTTCAATTTTAAAACAGAAGCAATAGGTTAATTATGTAACTACACATTAAACCTTTACCTGGATTGGTTAAAGTCAGCTTGTGGGCAAATTAAGTTGTAGATAAACAATTTAATATGTTGGTCGTCATCGAAGCTTGAATTCGTTGTCAAAGCCAGTTTATTGGGTTACTGTTAAAAAACATTTTATTTTATTTTTATAAGGTCTATCTGTTATGACCGTGTTATGTTTAACTTTTAAGCGTTGAGAAATCACTACTACAAAACAATGAAAAGTACATTTTATTGCATTTAAGGCTATAGTACTGATGTTTGAATTTATATTTTGATATTATAGGATACTCTGTACAAATATGTAAACAATAAAGGTATATTTTATGAAAATTTTTACTTTTGTTTTTGGTGTCGCTATTTTTTGTCTAAAAGGACAATGGCCACACAAAAGACTGGCCATATAATTTTAAGACACACAAAAGAGTCGTCTCGTAATTTTAAAGGAAATCTTTTTTAAGAGCCAGGGTCTTCATAAAGTCGTTCGTTCTAAGAAAAGGATGTCAAACCTTAATCAAATAAATCACATATTTGTCATTGCCAAATAGAATCAGATTTGATACTTTATTTATATTCAATCTTTGTCTTTAATGTATTTGATTATTTGAACACAAAATGTAATGCTCAACAAAGCTCAAATCCTAAAAGTGTAATCCTTAATTACTTAGTACCTTATAAGAATGACTGACCAAACGACAATACATAATGTTTGTTTGTTATTATATCTAAAAAAATGCCCTTTTCAATCTAAAGTAATTTTGCTCTGCACGGCCATGTTTGGTTGAATTCGTTGAATAAGTAAAATGACCGAATTCTCTATACCCTAGGGTATTTAGTCTTAAAAGACTATTATACTGATTTCAACAGTCAGTGTGTTTGTTTTTTATTCGAAATGACCAAATTGGAAGGTTAGAGACTATATTGTTGTACAAATATATGATGGCTAGATGGATGGGATATTCTGTCTGTATTTGATAGCTCACACGTCTACCGTTTCTGTTCAGTAACCGCAAAATCTTTTGTTTTAGTAAATCTAAAGATTCTAAACGTATATTGATATTAGTGATTTAAAGGACAACAATACAACATCCTTTAATGTAAGAATTTACAGAAATGTACCTGAAATTTCGTTTGAGACAGAGCCATCATACTTCGCCCGCTTTTAATAATGGCTTGGCTAGGGGCGTGAACGGTAACTTGCATTTTCCAGTACCGTCAATGAACAGGCTCAATCAAACCGAGCCTGCAACATTTTACAATTTTGCCGTGTTGGGCTGTCTTTAGGAATTCTGTTTTTCTCTATTTGGTAGATGTCCTTGACTTGAATGTTTCCGTTACCATAATGCATAGAACATAAAACTTGAAAAAAACTCCGGTAGGAGCCCAGTAGAACACAAAAACAAAATCAGGAAAGTCATAAGAGCAACGTATAGACGAGGCGCAATTTTAATTTTTACAAAACGAGAAGAAGATAGCAAACAATTTGGAAAATTAAATAAATGTAAACCACTTGTCTATGTAAACAGACCAAGAATGGGGTCACAAACGAAGAACGCCGAAAAGTCTCCGAGGATGAAAATATGATAACATTGTACTATTCGTGTGTACCATTTCACGACGTCAACAACTAATGCAAATATATAATGAATATGTATGGCTTAAACAAAGACCGGGGAAGAAGTGTGCATGATGATAAATGCAGGGGAACCAACACTTGTATACTAGATTCGTCTATTTCTATACATGTTAATAACAGTTTTTTTTGTAAACTGATTGTCACATCCAATTTACCCTACCAAACTCAATTATTAAAGTATACTGAAGAATCACTTGATAAGTTGTTAACAAGATGTGATTGTAATATGGGTAAACACAGTAAATATAACCTAAAGGGAAAAAAAGATTTCTTCTCTTTTTGGTTCCATCAATATAAATAATACCAGTTCTATAGTGTCAAGAATTGCCTGTTATCTGTGCACGATATTTTCTGTCATATCAAAGTTAGGTTTTTTATTTACTTTATCCGTTATTCATACCATTCTTTTATATGTCCATATAATTAAACTTTGAATAGATCTAACTTTAATGTTTGCATGACTGTTCTTTTTACGTAAGAATATATTGCTGCCAAAATGTATTACCTCGTTATTCATTATTCTTGGGTACACGCTGTCTTTTGCTTTGAGACAAAACGCCGCTTTTCATGGAACTGCACGAAAGTGTCGCATAGACGGTTATATGATAATCGCCGTATGAACACATATGTGGATGTTTGTAACGCAAAAATTCACCATTTTAATGTTTAAACGTTGAATTCTACTTAATTTGCTGCTATGGTGCATGAACATTCTTAATCAAATCGAGTCTGCAACATTTTCAATTTTGCCTTTTGGGTATTATTTAGGTATTCCGGTTTTCTCTATTTTCTATTTTGATAAATACTAAAATGTTTTACTGAAACGAAATCAAACTGCATATCCGCTGTCATGCACTAAATCTAGTATATGAAAAATGTACATGCTGACTGAGGACGAAAAAGCACGCTCCGTAAATATATCAATTATGCAACATAGCGTGCGTAGTGATTCATAGGTCTTCAAATTAATGGATCGCTTATTCGATGCCCCTTTTCTACTTAAATCAATCGTCATCTTGATTAATCTTTCTAATGTGACTTTAGCAAACGAGATCCCACGTAACAGTGCTTTACATTATACCTGATTTGTTTACTAGATGGAACAGTAAATAATTTGTAACAGTATCCCAAAGAAGTAAAAAAATAACTGGTAGTATCCTGAATAAATCCGCTGTCGACTTAAATAAAAGTCAAATTATTTTAAATATGTCTGTTTCAAAGGCCCAAGGAATTCAAAGGTATACATGTCCTTTTTCAAGAACTGTCCGTACTGATAACAAAATTACAGACCTGTTGTGTTATGCTATGCACAGTAAAGCTATTGACAGCTAAAGAAATAAATAGATTTCAATTAATTTAAGTAAAACAAGGTGAAGTTTTTAAAATTAACAGTAAGACATTTTTAATATGAGATTTGACAATGTATTTTAACTGACAACATCGATAAATTTCTTAATTACTTTGCAACTGTCGTACTTTTATTTCACGATACGCATTTTTTGTATCATAATGTATATTTAAGTGTGCTCTTATTTCAGTAATTAGCATGACATACGAGGGTTGTCCAAAAAATTCGTGCACTGCAGTTATTGTCGCAAGAGTTATTGATAAAAAACATGAATTATATATCGCTGGAAAGGAAATCTGTCTCAAATAAGAAAACAAAAGAAATAGCAGTGTAACCGGCGTGTCGTGAAAACGAATCGTCATACATAATACCGGCGCACGACAAAAATTGGGTTAGTTCATTACTTTAATGCATCACTGTATACTTTAAACACTACATATAAACGTTAAATTTCATGGAAATGTGTGTGTACGTATTATTGACGTTACTTGAAAATATGACGTCATTTGCCGTATTGTAAAGGTCGTTTACAAATATTTCTGTGTGGTCGTCAATACTGTAATTACGCGAAAATGTCACAAACGCTCTGTAGAGGGTGGGTAGACAACGATAACCGGTCAGGCAGACCTCCGTGCGTAATGCCGGCGCATGTGACGAGGGTTGTCACATATATTCGTGAACTGGTGAATATGTTACATGTACGTTGCATATGAACAATAAAAACTTCAAAATACCTTGCATCAGTCATTCCTCGATTGACAGTTAAACAAATTATGACATAAAAAGCAAATGCCAATTTACAAGCAACAGAAAATTAATACAATACCAGTACTGAATTAACCCGATTTTTTGTCGTGCGCCGGTATTACGTTACTAAGGTATACGTAACTTAATGACAATTCTTTTTCACGACACGCCGGTTACACGGTCTTTTCTTTTGTTTTCTTATTTGAGACAGATTTCCCGCTCAAGTGATATATAATTTATGTTCTTTTATTAATGACTCTCAAAACAATAACTGCAGTGCACGAATTTTTTGGACAACCCTCGTAAAAATGACAATATAGTATGTGTGTATGCATGTATGTCTATAGTATGATAAAAGTCTTTATCAAAATACTCGTACTTGTGATAATTATAAGTGCTCTGAAAGTCAATGCATTGATGATGGATCTACCTAACCAGTAGTATGATTTGAAAATAACAAAAAAACTTGAAACTTTAAAACTTCTCCAAAATTCAAAGAATAGATGCCTATCATGTTGCATCAACTTGTGGTCTTCTAATTTTTGTGTTAACTATTCCCTTAAGATCACAATTTAGTTTTACAGACTTGTCTTCAAAACAACACTTAAATCTTGAGGAAAACTACAATGTCAGGACCTTAGAATGTTTATTTATAAGAAGACCTCTTCGGATATATTTCAATCATTCACCTAGGGTCAAAACTGACGCATTAAAGGTGTTATTGTTACTTAACTAAACATCAGACAAGCAATTTAAGATGCAGCATGTGTTAATATTTTGCCGGTGAAGTGGATGTCACATTGTTGTTATACTTAAAACAACTAGAAAGAACTACTCACTCACTTTATTTAAAACGCCGGATAAATTATAACATGAGGAAAATGCTAAGGAATAAAATCTTTTTCCTTTTTCATATTCTGAAGCTTATTACTATAAATGATACGGAATCTAAAATGTCAACGGTTGTCCGTTCTCTGTGCATGTTATTTTCGGTCTTATTATTGACAGTGATTATACCTAGCGAAGGTAAGTTTGAGTATTATCTTATCTTATTGACGTATTCTCTTATATGTCGTGCTTTAAACATTTATTTTTGATATAAATGTTCAGTTAGGAAAATGATTCGTAAATATGATACTGTAGATGCGTACAATAATGAAACACTGCCTAATTTGTAGCCGTTATTTAGAAGCTCCAAGCAAGTCCTCATGCATTGGAAAAACTTGACGCCGTCACGACCTAATTTGTAATATCAAAACACGAGAACAACCTAAATTGTAATAGCTTGGCGCTATTACAAGTATTATTTACAACTTAATTGGCAAGCTTGGCGCTGTTGTAACTTTAACTGTATGGCTTGGCTCTGCTTCAACCGAAATTGTTTTAGCATAGCAATGTAACAACCGTAATTGTAATAGCTTCCTACTGTAACAACTATCAAATTATGTAACAGCATGACAAATGAAATGTAAGAGGTAAGTAATGTATTAACCTGAATTGAATTAACAGTTTGGGACTGTTACACCATTTATTTAACAACTTGGCTCTGTTAGACATTAATTGTAATAGTTCTGCGCTTTAACGTCCTGAATTGTAATCAATTGGCGCATTTTAATATTTTGAATTGTCATAGGTAACCTTTAAGAAAGCTTGCGCGGTTACATTGCTGGATGGAAACTACGAAACTTTAACTTGAAGGTTTGATGCAATTATAGAGTATAAAATTGTATTTATGTATCACATCATAATTGCTTATAAGTAAATGAAATCATTATAACCTTTACAATACAAAAAGTATATTACAGTTGTATTAGAACTTCTTAGAAATGGTCAAACTCAGTATATTTACAGCTTATAAATTATACAGTTAATACAAGTCTTGCTATGTTTTCAAGCTATAGACAATCAGTGTGGAACCGTCTCTCTCAGAACCGAAAAGGTGGTTGAAAATGGGACCGTGAAAATTGAGTATCGTCCGTCAAGTAATGCAATGTATTACAGAGATAGCCTCGAACGTAAATGGTCACGTTATGTCGGAAGGTATGGCAAAACATTAAAATTGAATGCTGGTACTTACACAGAGAAAAAAGAGCAACATTACAAATATGTGTTGATAATATACAGGTTCAATGTTTCTATGAATGGACAATATAGGGTTTATTGTGGTTCTCCTATAGGAAGGTACACAGATCCTGTTACCGTGAACTTGCCAGGTTTGTGTGTGTTTCTAAACTGGAAATAAACTCTTAAGATCATTAGAAACCTTTGCAGAAATACAAATTTTATGTAAAACAAATAATAAAAAGGTGTAAAAACACATTGGCATACACTGAATGACACTTATAACGCAACAATTTTCAAAATTAATTTAAGATGTCATTCTTAAATTTCATCAGAACTGGTTTGGTCACCATCTGCACATGAATGATGATTGCATGTAATTACAAAAGTGTGTTTGCCATCGGCATGCGTCAAACGAGCTAGTCAAAATCAGAAAAAAACATTCTTGCCACTAGTAAGGAACTGATAAAATATTGACATTTATGAACACAAGCTTTTATATTTTCACGAAGTGGCGTGGCCACGAGTAGTAATATAATAGCTGGTGTTCAAAAGTGAAATATAAATTGATCTTGCATACAAAACAAAGAAATTTTCTATTTACTTAATGTCTTTTATGGGTTTTAAGTCACTTTTACGTAATGAAATGCGCTCTCATGACGTTATCAAATCATAACGTCACGTTGTTTAATACAATTCTGTTAGAATTTACGATTTTATTTTTAATTTTTTTTTAATCGATTTGTTCATGTGATACTCGTACCCAAGCACATTTTACCCATAAAGGGCGTATTTCTGAAGATATGTCCACCCATTTAAAGATATATATTTTATCCGCATTCATACATAGGCCCAGTACGGCTACTATTGGAGTTATATTTTATAAATTCTATAAGTATATATCTATTAGATCATTATAAATTAAAATATTTATTTCATTTCTTTTTTCACAAAAATTATCATCATAACATAAAAGTTCTAAGCACTATTTAAGCAGACTATTCTAATATTTACAATTATTGAAAAAGAAAAACGAAATAAACATAATTATACAGTCATATATATTTCAAAGCAAGATAAAGATAGAGATCACTACATTCAAGAATATATTCGGTGATAATTGCTGATGTACAATCATCGTATAATATCATTAATAAATTTTGTAATGATTTTCGCGTTTAATGTTTTATTTCTTTTTGTTAGTTTTAGTTTTATTAGTTCTTTCTTTGTTGTAAACAAATAGTATGCATAATTTTCAGAACCACCAAGTGCACCTGTAATAGTTGGTCTACAAGACATAGAAAATTGCAGGGACTGTATTGTTGCTGAGGATAATGAAACGATCGCACTTGCCTGTGTGATACACGGTGGTACCCGTCCTCTAACCGTTATCATGACACTAGGAAATGAGACATATTTCCCTCAAAATAAATCAAATTCAACAACCTATATGGTATATTTCACCGTTAGGGACCACCATCACAAGAAAAATGTGATATTTTCAGTCATGAACGATGCATTGCCGTCACCTTTGAAGGCTACTGCTCAGATGTTTGTTATAAGTAAGTATACTATATACATTTATGTTATTTTAAGCATGCACACTAACTAAAGGACATGTATAAGAGTGTACTCATAACAAAAGTACTTATAACAAAAAAATCAAAAACATTTGCTTGACCTATTTATTACTGTTAATAAGACACCAATTTAAATAAAATTAATAAATTAATAAAGGAATTATTGCATGATGAATTGTGTTCAAATAATTGAATACTTTTGGCCACATTGAATACATTTTTTATGTTGTGTCGTCGTGGTTATTGTAGGTGTGTTTTTTAACCCTTTCAAGTTCAAACTTCTATGAAACTATGAAAAATGCTTCAATACTAATCAAACTTAGCACAAATGTTGACTGGACCATTGCCTTTGTAACGACATGCTCAGTCTTAAATTTCCTGTTACCATGGCAACGAGGGGACATCTCAAAATTGCCCAAAATCACTATTTTGCCTCGATTTTTTCCATCAAAATTTATTTCAAAGTGCTGCAACTTCTCAAGGGATTGAGGTAGAGTCAAAGGCTTTTCAGCGTTGTTTACACGTTACCTTATGATCGACCTGGGGTAATTTTAAGCCTCTCACAAGTCCAAAGTTTTCTTGGCGATGAGGGGGACTCCGCCCCGCTTCAAATCCCCTAAACAGAAGGGGGCGCATCCCCCTTCTGGCAACCCCCTGATGTATCTTTTGGACGGGGGGCGGCGCCGAAACAGTGCTTACTTTTTTAAACAAGATTTCTCAAACAACAACATGTGTTTGGGGCCCAAATAGGACATTTTTTCACTATTTCAGGCCTAAAAAAGGGGGGGGGTCGAAAGTGCGTTGTTTCGCGTATAAATGTGGTAAAGGGTTAACAAAAAATGATGAAAAACTTTGGAATCACCCAAAATCTAGTTATTCCATGTTAACATGTGGTCTTTTACATATTTTTTGTGAAAAATTGTTGTTTTGTAACATTTATAATTTTTTTAGTTAACAAAAAATGATGAAAAACTTTGGAATCACCCAAAATCTAGTTTTTCCATGTTAACATGTGGTCTTTTACATAATTTTGGTGAAAAATTGTTGTTTTGTAACATTTATAATATTTTTAGTTAACCCTATCCCTCATGAGCATATAGTGTAAAATGGCCGTTTTCACTGAAAAGCCTCCTCTTACAAGTTCAAACTTCGATGAAACTATGAAAAATGCTTCAATGCTAATCAAACTTTCGCGTATATATGTGGTAAAGGGTTAAGAAATATTTGAGAACATTGATGAAATAAAATGTATATTTTCGTTTCCGCATTTGTAACATCAGCGCAATACAACATACTTACCAAATATTTACAGGTATCTTACAGGACTACTGCTTCTAAACTATATTATTTAATGAAAATTTAAATTTACCAGTATGAATTTCTATTACTGTCTATCCGGCTATGTTATTTATAATAATATTATATTTTGTGTATTTATAACTAAGTGACCTGTAATACTTTTTAGATGTCAAACAAAAATACAATTATTTTTATTCTTTGTAACACACAATTAACTTTTTTTGTTATGTTTCCCCGTGTTTATTCAAACAAGCCTGAAATATTAAAAAAAATATTAAAAAATATTGCATCTAATATATTTATAATAATTATCCTACGTACTATTTTCTGAATTTTCTTCGTATGTTGTTAATCAAATTTTGTTGTTTTAATTATTCTTCAATTTCTTTTCTTTCTAAAATTGTTGCTGTATACTTGTTGTTGTGTGTCGGTCGTCACCAGTTGCTCTCCATTAGCAATTTAATAATAACGATCCCATTATTGCCTGCCTGGACAATGCCACTTACATACCGAAACGATGATAGTTAAAGACTTACTGTTATGGCGGGAAATTGCGGGGTCATGTGATTATGAGCAGATAACTCATGATGTAAGAAGTATGTACAACAATAGTCTCCCTTTTATTACAGTTTTATTACATTTTTACTTTTTTTATCTACTACTAAGAGCAGGCGACATTGAGTCAAATTCAGGCCCCGAGATTAGTAAGGAAAATTGTTTAACTATATACCATCAAAACATTCGTGGCATTAGAAGTAAACTAGACTTTGTAAATGACAACTTTCTCGATTATGATATTTTGTGTTTTACGGAAACAAAGTTGGATGCAAATGTTCAAGATAACAACTTAATTTTACCGGGGTTCGATCATATGTTTCGTAAGGATATTTCATGTCATGCTGGGGGGTTATTAACTTATGTTTCCGCTTTTTTAAGACCAAAACGTGTAGATGTTTTGGAAAACATCCTTCCAGAATCGCTTTGGATAGAAATTAAAGACAAAAAACATTCATATCTATTATGCACTTTATATAGGCCCCCTCATAGTACGGTCGATTTTTGGGATAAATTAAATAGGTGTCTCGAACAGGCTCTAGAGATGCAAAACCACATAGTAATGGTAGGAGATATAAATGAAGACCAGCTGAATTATTCGAATCATAAACTTCGCGACGTGTTATTACTGAACAATATGACCAACGTTATTCAGGTACCAACTCGTGTTACACCAACTACCAGTACATTAATTGATCCTATAGCAACAACAAATAACATTCATGTTTTAGATTCGGGAATTTTCGAAACGCCAAACGAAATAAGTGATCATTTCGGCACCTACATTTTTTTCAAAATTGAATTTGATTCAAATAAACCATTTAAAAGAAGAGTATGGAACTACAAACACGCTGATTTTACTAAATTTAATACCCTTATTCGTGATTTCGATTGGTCGTTCATTATCAGTGAAAATATTGATCTTGCATGCGAACATTTTACAAACACTTTTTTAGATATTGCTAAGCGATGCATTCCTACGTATATAGCGTTAGTAAGGCCTAAAGATAAACCTTGGTTTAATTCCGAAATTCGAAAAACTTCGCGACTTAGGGATAGACAATTTCATAAAGCATTGAATTCAAATAACGTACATGATTGGAATAAATACAAAAAAAAAAACAAGAAATAAGGTAAATAATATGAAAAAACATGCCAAAAACGTTTTCTACAACAATTTAGAATTTTCACTAAACGATCTTAATAGCAATGATTCGCGCAAATATTGGAAAACGGTAAAAATGCTCGTCAAAGAAAACTCTTCTGATTCGGGAAATATTCCACCTCTTATTAAATGTAATAACACAGATATATCATATTCTGACACAGAAAAAGCAAATACACTGAACGATTTCTTTGTTTCAATTTCAAATATTGACGATTCAAACACTGAACTTCCGGATTTTTCATTTAAAACACATTCAAAACTTAATAATTTTTTAATTACAGAACAAGAAGTTACCGATATATTAGATAATCTTAATTATCATAAATAAAGCTTCGGGTCCCGACGAAATTAGTCATAGAATGTTGAAAGAAACATCTAAATCAATATGCAAACCTCTTTGTTTACTCTTTAATCGATCTTTAAATGACAATATGTACCCATCTAATTGGAAACTTGCTCATGTTATGCCTTTATATAAGAAAGGAAATAAAGATGAAGCATCTAATTACCGACCAATATCACTAATAAGTTGTGTAGGAAAAGTAATGGAAAGAATAATTTTTAAACATATATATAACTATTTTAATGAACATTCACTTATTTTTCAAAACCAATCAGGCTTCCTTCCAGGCCACTCCACTATTTATCAATTAATAGACATTTATAACCAAATTTGTAAATCCTTTGATACTAGGGAATCAACATGTATATTTTTTTGTGATATTTCAAAAGCTTTTGATAGAGTTTGGCATAAAGGTTTAATTTTTAAGATAAGACAATATTAAATTGAAGGAAACTTGATAAACTGGTTGGAAAATTATCTAAAGAACAGAAGTCAAAAAGTTTTTGTTAATACTTCGTTTTCTTTACCTAGGTATTTATACGGTGGAGTCCCCCAAGGCTCGGTCCTTGGGCCTCTTTTATTTTTGATTTACGTAAACGATATAGCGGATTCCCTTTTAAGTGTAACAAGACGCTTTGCAGACGACAGTTCTCTTGCAGTAACATCAAACAATGTAAACACAATCGAAGAAACTATTAATCACGACCTTGATAACATTAGACGGTAACTGGCATGAGCACATCGCAAATATAGTATCATCTGCATCAAAAATACTAGGTTCAATGAAATTGATAAAATTCAAAGTTAAAAGAAATACTCTTAATCATATATATGTTTCCTATCTTCGTCCAAGGCTTGAATATGCATCAATTTTATGGGATAACTGTACACAATATGAAAAAGAAACTTTAGAAAAACTACAATATGAAGCAGCAAGGGTTGTAACAGGTCTAACTAGATCTGTTTCAATTCAAAATCTTTTAAAAGAAATAGGATGGCTTTCATAAGACGACAGGAGAAAAATGCAAAAACTTATTTTGATTTATAAAGAAAAACATAACCTTTTGCCGTTATATTTATCACAGTTATTCCCACCAACAGTCGAACATGTTTCCTCACATTTATACTCGCTACGAAATAATGCTAATTATGCTTCAATAGCAAGAAGAACAGAAATTTATGCTAAGTCTGTCATTCCGTCCTCTATACAACTATGGAACGAATTACCAGCCCATATTAGAGAATCAGAAACATTATCAATATTCAAAAATAAGCTTAAAACATTATATAAAGCCCCTATTGTGCCGCCATTTTATATCGAAGGCGATCGTGTATCTGCTGTCTACCATGCTCGTATTAGAAATAAATGTAGCAATCTGAATTCTGACCTATTTACAAATCATCTTACTACTAGTGCAGCATGCGATTGTGGTACTCTAATAGAAGATGCCGAACATTTCCTATTCCAATGTCGAAAGTATACAATACAAAGAAGAAAACTATTTACAAACACCAGAGAATTCCATCCGCTTAGTACTAAAAAGCTACTCTTTGGCATTGAAAATTTAAACGACTTTCAAAACAAAATCTTATTTCAGCATGTTCAAAATTATATCAAAGAAACAAAGAGGTTTACATAAAACGTTACTACATTGTTTTTATGGTAATTAACTATAACAAGTACTTTAGGTACAAACAAATGAGTATCTGCTTTAGAATTCATGGTGGGGATTGGTTGGTGGTAGTGTCGACACACAACTAATACAGCAATATTTCTTTTCTTGTTTTTCTTCTCTTTCCTCTTCAATCTTTTCATCTTAAAATGAAAATGTATTGTTACTTAATGCATATTTAATTTAATGTATAACTTTCTTTACTTTATGAAACTGATGTTAATCATTTACAGGGAAGGGCCCACGATAATGTTGTAAAAACTTTTGGCCCAACCCTTTTGTATATTGTGTAATTATGTTAATGTGAATAAATTGATGTATATTTATATATGCAATAAAATATTATTAAACTCAAATGAAAATTTAAGTTTTTTCTAAAAATACCGGAATTATTTTTATATCATGGTAGGAAAATTTCATATTTCATAACAATTATTATGAAATGTAATATTATGAGGTGTGTAAATATTGAATTTTATTGGACGAGTTCACAGTAGTCAAAAATATATTTGGCGATGCGCTAGTCAAGTCTGATATAGGTTGCTTTGCAGCTGTGTACGAGTCAAATAAAATGAGTGTTGTTCTCAATATATAATTAAATTTTAATTTTTGGCATTTGACCTATTATGAATAAAATGACATTTCATTGAAAAACATTTTAGAGCCTCCAGTCATAGGGTTCAATATATCTGGATCGACATTAGATATCTCTGAAGGAGAACGGGCACATGTAAAATGTGAAGCTGACAGCGTTCCCGCCTCCAATGTATCATGGATTGAAGAGCTGAGTAATGGAAACAGAACAAAGAAGCAATGTAACTTGACACCAAACTGCGTATTAAATATTGATACTGATGAAGTTTCAAACAGGCGTTTCAAATGCCAGGTTCACTATAAGACAAAAGTTTACCACAAATATTTGACTATTCACATAAAAGGTAATGTTTTATATCCATGTCCTGTTAAATGGGGGTTTAATGCACATGAAAAAATTAAAAAGTTTAACAAACTTGAAATGTATCCACATTAATATACGCTTGGCCATGCCGTCACGTCTCTGTAAAACGAATATTAGTTTAATATTTTACAATTGGCCTTTAATTTATTTAGATCGTCCATTGTCAGACAGAATGATGTACATCGTTGATACACTTTAATTCACAAAAGGAATAACCACTTTCTGAACATTATCATGTAATACCTGTTTTCTAATACATGTATATAAATAAGTTTCATTTGAACAATTTGAAAGTGTCATTAGCCAATCATAAAGAAACCTTTATATTTTTTTAGATAAAGTTGATGAAGACGATAAGTACAATAACAAACAGAAAACGACCGGCCAAGCGTCGGACAAATCAATCATATGGATAATACTGGGTGCATGTGTTCTTGTGGTCGTCATCATTGTCATAGCTGTCTTGTTTCTTGTCTTCAGAAAAAAAGGTCAAACTCTTCAAGGTAAGATAAGATCAAGGCACGAAACGGACGACTTATTGATTATGAGTCCTGTTGTTAAAACTAGTCAGTAGGAAACTTGGCCTTGCTCCCTGTAGATCTTTGACCTCCGAGTTTTGAGCTGAGAGATACACAACTTAACGCCTTTATAACTAAACCATATTTTTGCATATTAACATCCATGTATATACACATCATATAAAATGTTGGTATAGTATTAGAAAGTCAGTCATTCATACGCTTACTTCCTTTAATTTCTTATTGGTTATGTTATGTTATTCTGGTATTTCACCAATTTAACACGTTAAGGTCATATCCAGGCTTTCCTAGATAACTAACCTGTAATTACAGTAGACTAAATTGTCACCACGAAATTTAGCCTCTTCCTATGATCGAGCCCGCGACCCCTAGATTACAAGTACTTTATGCTTTCAAAATTCATGAAATTTAATTTGTTTACAAATCAGTAAACTATTTGTTATCAATTTAGTTTAATATCTCCCATCTTCTCACACCTTGCATTCTTTCATTTCAACGAATGATCAGTTTTTAATTTTGCCATGAAATGATATACCAAAAATGTTATTTATTTTAAAAGCAACGTTAAAGAAATTGGTATCTCTGCAAAATGGTTGTACATGTATTTTCACAGTATTAGTTATATTTCCATTGCTTTTTTCAAACATGACAGATAAGAGAGAAGGTCGGGTACACCACGACACACAAGAGGGCCATGCAAGGTTAGGGCGTTGTACACGTTATAATTATTTGATGCGCGTTTACTGTCGAAAAAAAATTTTTTGACTAGTAATTTAAAAGCTAGATGATACAAATCCATTTTCATGTCCCGCTTCTTTTGTCTTTGGAAAGTAAATGAAACAGAACGTTATCTATTTATTAATTTGACGTCAATTTTTTAAATGTATCGTAATTATCAACACTATCAACAATATTTTTGTAATTACTATGAAACATATTCTTGTGCGGATAACATATTGTAATAACTGAAACATTTTTTAATGATTTGTACATTCAGAGACACATCATTTACTTTTCTATTTTATATAGTTTGTACATAACAACCATATTACTTTTTTACCAAGATGTACTATACAAAAGTCGGAGGATCGCCCAGCGGGACAATTGCTTTATGCCGACCTGGCCTTTGATCCAAATGCGGCTCCGTCAAAAGCAGCAGTTGCCAAACAAGAAGATTCACCCACAGAATATGTTGATATAGATTATGTGAAGACGAAAGCTAATAAGGAAATTGATGATGTCCCTACGAAACAGGAAAATTTGTAAACTAATTGACAGGATTTTTATTAAACGAGTGGTGTAAATACTTTTTTTAAAATTTAAAACTGTTATTGTCACAATGTGTTTTTCTATTTTGCATATTATTCTACACAGTTTATTACGCATGATTTATTGAAAAAAGAAACATTCATGAAAACAAAGGAAACTGCAAAAATGATATAGACATGTATGTTTTCGTCTTTGTAAAGACTTGGCTAGTTGTGAATAAGTTTTATTATATTTGGAAAGTTCCATGTCATTAGGTTTTACTCATTTGTACATTTGTATATACTTTAACAATGTTTTTAGGCATTTATCTTTAAAGCTTGTAAGGTGTTTATTGGGTTTATTATCAAATACATTGAACCGGAAATAATGAAATAATGAACTGTTTTATTCTATCGTTTTAATGCCTTTCTAGTTAAACTTACATTCTTGAAAGATTGTCATCTATAAAGTCATATATTTTACAGGTAAACTAGGACCACCCAAACTCATCTCGAACTTTTCGATTTTGCAACACCTGTAACGCAAAGAAGAAAATTTATTTATGAAATAATGTTTAACATTAATTTATATTTTTTATATTTCATTTATAGTCAACAATGATTTTGATGAGATATGGTTTTTTAATTTTCCATATGTTACTTACACTTTGCATTTATTAAATACATAACATGATTACTTATTTCCAAAAAAGTGCTTGTTGTTTTACGGGGAAAATACTATTTGTTTTGTAATTTTCATCTGTTTATGCGGAGAAATTATATTTAAATTCGTCTAAATGTAACTGTTCAATGAAAATTAGATTTTCTCACATATTTAACATTTTTCCCTGCCTACAAGATCACTTTCAATGTAACATTTATACATGTACAAGGCAGGTAAACACAATTTTTAAAAACTTTATAATTGTGATTTATCTTTGGTCTATAAAGATGGTCAACATATAAATTTAGTAATCCTTTACCAAAACATTAAGTCTCAACCCGTAACCTGTTGAAACCAAAACTCAGAAGTATTAAGCCAGGCAAGCTTGCACATCCTGATACTTTATAGCTTACTTCAAATATCATTTTTAAATTGATAATGTATACATGTACCTTCAAAAATGCTAGCTGGACGAACCCATTTTATGACATTCAGCAAAAGTGAGTTAGAAATCTATTAAGGTTTAAATTCAACAGTAAAACTTTATTAATTCCATAATCATTTGCTTGATTCTCAAACGAGTTGAAACATATACTTTCACGGTAAATAACACAAAAATATTGTAAGTAAACACAATAAATTGCTCCTGATCAAAATACTAGTATGCTATTCTAAGGAAGGGTTTATCCGTCTATACATGTTTTCGTGCAAATACCATTCACTTTTCATGCAATTTACTTCCACATCTATCTATACATTAATTTTGTTAGTATTATTTTTTTTTTAAATAATAACTTTTACAGCAGATTTGTGTTTTATATAGCTTTATACACTTTATCATTGAATTTATCATTTAATCTTCACAATTATAACAGTATTAATGTTGTAAATACTTGTAAGTTTTCTATATTTTCATAAATTCTACATTGTAATATAGCTCATTTCAACAGCATATAAACAATCTGTTACAATGGTTCTAAATTATTATCACACTGATGATTGTATAGAAAACATAATTTTATTTTAAAACAGAAGCAAAATATTAAGAATGTAACTACACATTAAACCTTTAACTGGATCGGTTAAAGTTGGTTTGGGGGCAAGTTAAGCTTGTTGGTAATCGAAGCTTAAATTTGCTGTCAAAGCAACTTAATTGGTGAATCAATTAGGATAATTTGTAGGTATGTCAAGGATGAAATGCTGAAATAATGTGAAGAATATTTCCAGACGTTGTTTATTGTTGAAAACATTGAAAGTTTATTTGTAATTACCGTATTATGTTTAACTTTAAACTCTGAGAAATCGCCACTACAATACAATGAAAAATTCATTTTATTGCATTTTAAAGTATATTCCTAATATATTGAAAGATTGTATAAATTTATATTTTGATGTTATAGAATACTCTGTACTCTGCTTCAATACAAATATGTAAACAATAAAGGTATATTTTATGAAAATTTTTACTTTTGTTTTTCGTGTCACTATTTTTGTCTAAAAGGACAATGGCCACTCAAAAGAATGGCCATGGAATTTTAAGACACACAAAAAAGTCGCCTCGTAATTTTAAAGCAAATCTTTTTTAAGAGCCAGGGTCTTCATGAAGTCGTTCGTTCTAAGAAAGGGATGTCAAACCTTAATCAAATAAAGAACACATTTGTCATTGCCAAATAAAAACAGATTTGATACTTTATTTATATTCCTGGTGGTCTTAATGGCTTTAATGTATATGATTATTTGAACACAAAAGGTAATGCTCCACAAAAGTCAAATCCTAAAAGCGTAATCCTTAATTACTTAGTACTTTATAAGAATGACTGACCAAACGACAATACATAATGTTTGTTTGATTGTTATTATATCTCAAAACGATGCCATTTACTATCAAAAGTAATTTTGCTCTGCACGGCCATATTTGGTTGAATTCGTTGAATAAGAAAAATCACCAATTCTCCATACCCAAAGATATTTAGTATTAAAAGACTTTTATACTAATTTCAACAATCAATGTGTTTGTTTTTTATTCGAAATGACCAAATTGGAAGGTTAGAGAATATATTGTTGTACAAATATCTGATGGCAAGATAGATGGGATATTCTGTCTGTATTTGATAACGCATACGTCTACCGTTTCTGTTCAGTAACCGGAAAATTTTTTGTTTTAGTAAATTTAAAGATTCTAAACGTATATAGACATTAGAGATTTAAAGGACAACAATACAACATCCTTTAATGTTAGACTTTTCAGCAATGTACCTGAAATATTGTTTGGCTCAGCGAGTCATAAGAGCAAAGCAAAGACGAGGCCCAAAATGTTACAAAATAGGGAAAATCAAAGAAAACGACAAGAAGATAGCGAACAATTTGGAAAATAAAATAAATGTAAACCACCCGTTTATGCAAAAAGATCAGGAATGAGGTCACAAACGATCAACGCCGAAAAGTCCCTGAGGATGAAAATGTGATAACATTGGACCATTCATTTGTACAATTTCACGACGTCAACAACTGATGCAAATAGATATTGAAAATGTAATGCTTAAACAAAGATCGGGAAAAAGTGTACATGATGATAAATGCAGGGGAACCAACAAAGATGAGTTGGCCTTGTATACTAGATTCGTCTATTTCTATACATGTTAATAACAGTTTTTTCGTAAACTGATTGTCACATCCAATTTACCCTACCAAAGTATACTGAAGAATCACTAAATCACTTGATTAGTTGTTAACAAGATGCTAATCAAATTTGATTAAACACAGTTAATATGAGTTAAGGGAAAAACGATTTCTTCTCTTTTTGGTCCAATCACTATAAATAATACCAATTATATAGTGCCAAAAATTGCCTGTTCTTTGTGCACGATATTCTCTGTCGTACTATCAAGAGTGATCAAGTTTAGGTTTTCGTTTTATTTAATCCGTCATTTATTCAAAAGCATTATTTTATACGTCCTAAAAAAATTATAGTTTTAATAGATCATATTTTAATGTTTGCATGACTGTTCCTTTTACGTAAGAATGTATTACTGCAAAAATGCCTTACCTGCTTTTCAATGGTTTATCTTCTATAACTACGTACTTATAGTAAGTAGCACTAGACTGTAATAACACAATAGCTCCGATGTACGACGGTCATCAGCTGAGGCATGTTTCAAGAAAACCGTGTTAAAATATGAAGAAAAAACAAGATCAACGATAGAATGGCATTTAATGAACGCACCCCTAGTCCCCTACACGACCCAGTAACACTGGGTTGCTGGCAAGGAACCTAGTAGAAATATTAACACATTAAAGTGAATTTCGGGATTCAACGAAATTGCACGCGGCTAATTACTGTCGTTCTCCAGGATATTACAAACTAAATTAAGATCCTAGTCTACTGGAATGTGCTCTGTCATAAAACTCTGCTTTACATACAATTTTAAATATGAAATTCGCTGAACAGACCTGATTTAGTCTCGTACAATTGCTAAGGAATTTTGTTCTCTAGTAGTTGCAACACGGTGATGGACAATAACAGTCGTCACTTGTGGAAATCCTTCAAAATGAAGATTGCAAAATGTAATCCTCTTCTAACTAGGCTCTTTATTTAGCTTTAATCCTAGTAGGAACTATAACTATATATTTTAAACTATGCAAATGAATGTTTAATGTGCTACCGTTTGCTCTCCTTTATTCATTACTATTCTATCGTTGCCTTCTACTCGTATGTATACTGTACATGTACTTAAAATATTTAGCATTGTGTTTATTTTATCATTAATAATATAAACAAATCAAGACACAAATTTCTACTTTTTTGATTCTAATACTACATCAAAATTGAAAATCAACAACATACAAAAATGACAAACCATCCGTGAAGGATGTAACTAGATGTCAAAATGAAATTGTTGCTTAATACACCCCGCATTTTTCGAGCTAGCTGCTGACTGACGCCAAAGAGAGTGACACCGTATTTTATTAAATGGCACGCATGTGTCATAATGCATTAACCATAATCATCTCCGTATTAACACATCTGCGGATTTGTTACATTTTAATTTTCACTTTATGTATTGTTGAATGTTTGAAATTTTCTTAGTCGCTAATTATCGTGGACTGTAGATTGAATCTACTACTACAATGCAGGAATATTCTCAATCAGACAAAGCCTGCAATATTTTCGATTGGTGCGTTCTTTAGGGATTCAATTTTTCTCCATTCTGTAAAAGTTAATGTTTGTACAGTTTTAAATGTTCAAAGGTGAACGAAACTTCTATATCCGGGAATTATAAATATCCTAAACGAATCATTTCATTGGCTTTTAATAATGAACCTGCCCAGAGTTTTCAGTTTACTGCGACTTGGCTGAATAGCTATCCTATTGCTACTCTTGGATAAATCAAATTCACTGGTTGACCTGGTTTACAAAATAAACATGGTTGGCGTCCGCGCCGAAGCGCGACGCCCCTTATGGAATGAAATCAGACTTTGTGAAAGGGCGTCAGCAACTTCTCGGGCCATTTCGTCGGTCACAATAGCCGATCATTCCGATTGGTATAAGGGTATTTGATTTATCAAAAATGAAATGTCGCGAACAATGAATAGCGAACTGGAGAATTTCGCAATGCGAAATTATTTTATCCGTCAATTAATCGCGCTCTTCGGGTTTTCTTATTAATCATTTTGTAGTACACACATTGGGTTATTGTATATTGCTGTACCTATAAATAGAATGATGACCTTAACATTGTGAAAGTCCGAAAATCTATTTATAGAAGTAGTTTTAGTTTAAGGAAACGGTCATTCGTGTTGAGCTATGGTTATTATTAACCAACTGGAGAATTTTGCAGGAAATGAAATATGAAAAATGAAACATGTTTAAACAACTAATTGCACTTGGATATTATAGACCTGTATATTTTGGATATTATCGTTAATATTGATAGAATTTTAAGTGCCTAATAATATTCTAATCTCTAGCATGCCTACCAAAGTTCATGATGAACAATGTCTTTCGTCCGACCATTCATAAATATTATACAATTCTGATAAATACCAATTGACCATTGAAAAGTTTATAAGAATATCTAGTCATCAGATGTCTACTAGTTCATCTTCACTTGCTGCATTTCTTGCATGGACGCCCTTTGATGCTTTGCATCAATGCTTTTCTTGCTTTGTTTTGTAATACTGTTCTGAATAATTAATCTTTCATTGATTCTTATAATGCTGCTAAAATTTGGAATGGTCAATCGGTATAAATCGTATTTTATTCGTTACGATTACTTTAATAGGTTATGTAGATCTAATTTCATCTAACCTATTATTTAATTATTTCATATGTATAAGATAGATGTTTATTTAGGTAAAAGCACACATAAACATAATACATACTTTTATGCATTTTTATATAACAAGGTAATAAAACAAACTTGTCATAAAATATTTGGGAAGTTTGTCAAGCTTAACTATCACTGGTTGACCTATCGCAGGACACGTGTAACTGTTAGAGCGTTAAAGCAATGTATGCACTTCAAAAACTCCTTTATATGATGTTACAAGTTGTACAAAGAAATTGAGAAATTTTCTTTAAACACTTTTCGGAGGGATTCCCGTTTCAACAGCACTGTAAAGGTCATATGAGGACTTTTCAGCTTAACTGGTAGAGGAAATCCTCAGGTGCCTTTCCGTGTATTAATTCAGGCCTGAAAGGTGACCTTAGTAAAAACACTGACGTTGGAGCAGGTGGTTTAAAGTAAAAATAAGCATTTATAAAAGATAAACTTGTCTTAAGAAAATAATGGATGAAATAAATGTTTAATTAGGAGAACGAATGCATAATTTTTGCTTACAAATCGCCACCTTCTTGCATTAATGTGTTAATTCCTATAAAAATGTTTCATATGGTTTAACCCGTTACTGTAAGATGATACATTTTCGAAAAAGTGCAATAGGGATTTTGTGTATCCAAAAGTTGTCCCGTACTGCATTTCAGTGTTGTTGTATTTTTTTGGTCCTTCGGGATTATTGATTCCAGCACTTTTAAGTGTTGAAAGTTGAATACCGCTCAAGCCGGGGGTAGGTAGCGTGATGGATGTTGCACTTTTTCATTATCCCTTATGTATAGACTCAATGAAACCAAGTCTGCAACTTTCATGTAATTTTGTTGTGATAAATGCTTCCGAGGGATCACACTTTTTGCAGATTTTAATAATTCACAACAACAGGTGCCTAGCGCTGTGCAGCAGCTGTAAAAAGTTGACCCGTACTTCACTTCAGTGTTGTATTTTTTTGTTCCTTCCGCATCATTGGTTCCAGCCCTTTAAAATGTTGAAAATTGAATACCGCTCAAGCCGGTGCTAGGGGGTGTGAGGGATGTTGCATTTATTCATTATCCTTCATGTACAGACTAAATGAAACCCAGTCTGCAATTTTCATGTAATTTTGTGTTGTGATTAAATCTAGTGCTTCACACTTTATCCAGATTTCTACTAAGAATAAATTAATCCCAATATGAACGAGTTTATATTTCTGGTTACATAAATATTACAATATTGTATCTGCTTGATTGAATTACATTTATATCAATATTGACGTGACTGTTTGATGTGTTAAGAAGTTCACCAATCGTAATCACCCAAATTATTTTACATAAAATAAACAAGTCCGCGGTATCTGAAACGTTATTTTTGCAAAACAAATATTGCTGTTCAACAGGCCTAGTTTTCTTTCCTTACTAAAATCCTAGTGGTCATTAAATGGCTATATGACAAGAGCACTTATCCCTTTGATTTTAATCTGATACCGTAATCTGATAAACGGTCGGTGGAATATTTAAAAGGCTATATGACGTAAATGACTATTTGTTTATGAAATTTGACATTCAAAACGCCAATACTAACTAGTATGTCCTTGTTTGGTAAACATGCTCACGTACATATGTAAATATAAACAAACAAACACAAGAAATAATTGACACACTTGACCTTATCCTGTGAATTCAACGCGGACACATGCAAGCATATGCAAAATGACATAGTTGACAATATCTTGAAAAAGAAAAGTGTTCACGTAAAAGGGTCTCGCTTAAATCTAAACATATACATAAGCAATTAAAGACATACATGATGAATTATCCTGTTAGCAAAAGTATTAGTAATAACAAACATATTTTTTGACAAAAATAAGCACGCATATGATTGGTGTCAGTGGCAATGTGGTTAACGTGGCTAATTTTAAATACTGCCGCTGTTGGTTCGGTTCCCTCCAGTGACTTTCTTTCTCATATAAGCAAAATGAATTAATTTTAGTCTATCATACAAAAATAAAAATAAATGAAAAATTATCCAATTATGGTCTGTAAAATGGATTAAATGCTTAAAGGTTGGGGAAAAAATTCTGAGAGTACGCCAAATACGACCAGTCCTTATAAGTACTAAAACTGACTATAATTGTTGTGTTTTTTTTTTTTTTTTTGTTTTTTTTTCGTGCATGCCGTAGACAATGGATAACACATGAATACACAGTCATTGCAAAATAAGTACACACTTTTGTATCTTTAGACGAGGATAATTAAAAGCAAACACACACACATTCAATACGTCAAAGTTTTACCATTACATATATTTTATAAAAAGGCAACATTTTTTATCGATTTTATTTATATAATTTAGAGTAAAAACATAACAATAACATATTAGCAACAAAATGTTGCAGATTTTCAAATGAGGTGGTAGGTTCGACAACATTCGCCTGCACAGACATAGATACTCCTCAGAGCTTAAACATTGAATAGTATTTAGTAATCTAATTAAACTTAGCCGTTCGTCATATAGTCTTAACGTGACTGAATCAATTACCAACTATTTCCCCCAAGAGTCTTTGAACTTCTTAAACATAAGATAATAGGATTATCTAAATTTGTTTATTTGTTTCGTCATCCGTAAAGTTAAGTTTATAAAACTGTGGTCAAAATGAGACCAGCAATTATATGCAGGTTTAAAGGCAATGAAATCGTTTGTAAAGACTAAGTATAGGGTACTTTCGAAACTGTTTGTCTGGATCTCTATTTTAACTTATTCTTTTACTGAAGGTATGGAATTTTTACAAGTCTGATTAAAATGATTTTGAATAACACATTGAAAAAAAGATAAGAATATTTTTTCAACGACAAAAAAATATTTTTTTTAAAAAGCATATGGCATTTTATTGACTTTGCTCAAGTCGCAAATTTTAATATTATTATTTCTGTATGTCGTTTAAAAATTCATGAGCAAATTATATATTAATATTATAGCATTCAATTTTATGCTTCAATATATTGACTCATAAAGCTACATTATGAGTAAAAAAAGTTTCAAAAATATTGTTATACAAAATGTACATACATTATAGAAGTTTAAATGCGAATCTCATTTTTGATAAGTAACGGGAAAAATATAGACGATCGCTCCAAACAGTAAATAAAGCTGGGTAGTGGAAAAAAAAGCACTCAAATTTTTAATTTTTTGTAACTTTTGTAAGTATTTTATACAAAAGCTTTATCAAAGGCAATGTTTTCCATATGAAAAATGATGAATTCATTTATGATATTTGAATACGGAAACGTGTCAATCGGATGAAAACTTGTTAGAATCAATTGCTAGACAATCTCGATTTATCCGGGTCAAATTAGGAATCGTACAATTGTCGAATGTAGAGAAACAAAACTGTTTTATATTGTTAATCATCATTTCTTAGACTCTAGTAATAGTTATTGTCGCATTACACATTCAAAATTATCAATATACATATATATCAATTATTATAGATAAAAATGTAAATTTATGGTCAGTCAAACTGCATAATCTTTAAAGAAATTCTAATTTAATTTTACATACCTTTTGATACTACTAGCTTTAACAACAATCAATTTGATGAAAAGTATTTGATAAAAAAATACTATATTTTCATTGTATTTTACTATACTGTATTTAACCATCAATGCGTTACATTACCTGTTATGTAAAGGCGTTATATTACCTGTTCGGTAAATTGATTTATGAATAATGGGTGAATAAATTATTGTATATTTAAAAGCTAACTTTGTATACAATGCAGGTGCTCATGTGAGTAAAATAGAACCGAAGTATGGGAGTTTGGCTGGAGAGACCAGGCTGACAATCTATGGCGGAGGTATGTATTATCTGATATAGAACTTTTGATATTTTCTTCTTTACTTTTGACATTCTTTCTATTTTTATGGCATTTTTTGTATACTTTTGACATTTTTTTTCTAAATTCTTAAGATTATTTTATACTTTCGGTATTTTGTTCTATACTTTTGACAGTTTCAAAACTTTTGACAATTTTTTCTATACTTTTGATATCTTTTCTATGCTTTTGGCATTTTTTTTCTATACTTTTCCGATTTATTTTAAATACATGTTACTGGTTAACACTCATTTCGAAATCATAGCCAATTCTGATATAATAAATTTAGATAAGTAAGATTTTTATGACCCAGACAGTAAAGTTGAAATAGTACTGAGTGTGTTGTCTTGGGAAAAAGAAACTTTACTATATAAAAGAAAGTATGAGCAAATTCATTGATATTAAGCATAATTTTATTCTTAAGTTTAAATTACCTTTTCAACAAAACAACGTTTCTTATTAAATCATTAAAAAAAATTCTCGCACAACATATGAAAATACATATTAATTTTCTCAAATCATTTTACCAGGATTCTCAGCGGACCAGTTCAGTCAAAATGATGATCCAAACGTGGGTAACAGGGTGTACTTGGTCGGTGAATCTGGCACGGAATTCTCGTGCATAGTACACAAAGACGGCTGTACAGAGACTCAGATTATGTGCTATACCCCCAGGTATAATCAGAAATTGGTTTATATATTCGTTTTTTATTGGAGTAAGGGTAGTAGTAATGATTGTAGAAATGTCTAATTATAATAAAAACCTTTTTATGTATTTTATTAGAATTGTTATAATTACATAATTTTCACTCAGATGATATTTTTTATTATATACCTATAAATTTTCTCCCTAAAATACACGCAAATATTGAAGCGCAAATACGCTTCAACGGATAGAAATTTCCGTATTATGTTAGTGACAAATACGGTACCATATATGGAAGTGCCGGACTATTTTTGACGTTGGTTCCGATCTTACATTTGTATTACGTTGCATTTTGGAAACGGGAACCAAAATTGTAAAGGCGTGGCCAGTTTGCAAGAATTACGTATTAATCCGTCAGTCATGAATTTATTTCTTGACAACTACATTTCATTTTCTGAATAAAACGAAAAGGTATATAATAAAAGGAAAATTATGTTGTAGTAGCTTTCTGAGACTATGTATTTTTCTACTCGCAACGTTGGAAAATTGATATCTCACTCGACCTTCGGTCTCGCGAGATATCAATTTTCCACCGCTGCTCGTAGCAAAATACAGAGCCTCAGAAAGATACTACAACATAATATTCCGTATATATTTGCAGAGGTATGACGGAGGAGGACCACTATGTCAAGGTCAAGGTTGACGGTGATGTTGTTGCAGACAGTGACCTGTGTGGCGGTGATCCGACCAGCTTCAAGTGTACTTTCAAGGTAACGCACTTTTTTTGCAAATATCAAGATTTTCATTTCATTTTTTGATTGTATAAATCAATATTTTCACTCAAGATTTAAATACGGACAAAAATTAATTTGTTAGCAATTTATTTTCTATTTCAATTATATTTCCTCCGTACAGATACTTTCGTTTTAGCAAAAACGTTATTCTGACATGATTGAAAAGCTTTCAAGAGTAGATGATTAGACAGATTTGATGAATACATTCATACTGTGAAATTAACTGACAGTGA